ACTCAAAATTCATTAAGATTAAATTAGTTTGATGAGTTTTCCAGCGCCACGTCAACGGTTGTGCGAAATTACCACGCTTAGGATGATTCGGATCAACACTACAAAAACCGTAGGCACAGAGTAAAGGAGCAACCGTGAACGTTCACATTTCTAAATAAAATATATCTCACATTGTAGAATTTTAAGCACTTTCCAACCATGTGTTTGACAAGTTAACATTACCCTTGCTTACTAAATATAGCATAATACTATCAATATTTGTTATATTATTATTATACTGATTATACTATCAATATAATCAGTATTTTAAATACTGAGAAGTTGCATAAAAAAAGAAACAGCCATTCTTTATAAATATCTCATTTAGAGTAAATGCGATCATACTACCAAATCTAATCAAGTAATTCCAATCACTGGATGTAAAGCACATGGGAAACATAGAAAACGATCTATATTAACGATTTGTAGTAAGGCCTACGAATGCCATGGCTCATTCTATATTATTTGCCGAAAGAATAATACTTCAAGTGACAATATTATATACTTCAGTTATTCACATGCAGCAAAAAAGTAGAAAAAATGTTAACCAGTGAGAGTACTAGAACTGTAATAAGCAAAAAAATGACTGAGTTTTATTTCAAGGCAATGCTTGACTCAGAAGTGGCTAATGAACTTTGAGCGTTAATTGAGATGAAGAAAATGCTGCTTTATATCGAAATAATACCAATCGGGTATAAATATAATGAAAACTGTTACATGACTCGAAAATTAGGCCCGATTCATCCGTTAGAATTCATTCATGTACCACAAGAGGCATCTTGAAATTGTCTACAAAAACCGTGTTGAGCATTTTATTATGAAAGTAAAAGTAGACAGATATATGAAAAACACTGATGAAGTTTGAAATAGTTAACTGTCTAACAAATTTTATTCCTCTGCATGTTGAGATATGGAAAACTCTAACCAGACAATTTGTAGCGCTTGAAAAGCTGTCTTATAGCTATAATCAGAGTTTTACCACAGATTACATGAAATTTTTTTATTTTTATTTGTTTCCGGAAAAATCATTATTTTAGAATATGAGTTTTGCACCATTGTGTAAAATCGGCATATCCGTGGAAAATCAAAGTTTTGGGGTTCGAATTTTTTTTGTTTTTACAGTGAAATGAGATGTCGCGTCTATCCAAATACCAGAAGTACACCAGCTCTCTTTTATTTTTAGTTTTTAGTTCAATTTCTTGCGAAAGACTAGATATCCATCGGAAAAGACAGTCTCCATCTCCATAATATCTCGAATAGAATCCAGATGTCTGCCTCTTTATGATTAAAAATCTGGTATTTCCTTATAGTAAATGCATTCCTCCAGAGCATGGAAATAATGATGATGTTCTGTGTTGTTCTTGCCTCCAATAACTGCCAAAAGAAACAAAATGAGATAGAAAAGTTCATATAAGATGTTTTGTGGAGGTGACGGAACATTTTTTGCATCGAAAGTTAACTTGACATTTCTTTGACAACATACCAAAGACTTCAAACTGGGATTTATATTGACAGGGATATGTAACTTGGAAGAAAATGACAGATATGCTAATTCTTGTGGGTGTTTATCTTTTGCTCTCAAGTTCCAATATAAGAAAAGAGAATACGAAGAGATGAAAAGTAATAATTTTGGTGGGATAAAATTTTTGCTTTTCTCGAAAGCTTATCAACCGAATGTACGAAGGTTTTGTCTACTCTAAGGACAAATCTGAAATGAAGCACAAAAACAGAGAGAAAAGCTTGATTGAATGCACGATACAGACGGGATAGCTAAGAACGCGATTCGATCTGGATAATTAGCAAAGTGATGGAGATATATACAACAACAGACATCAAATGTAATTGATTGATGCATGATTTCAAGCTATGATCGTGATGCTATTATGTTAATATTAATGCGGTGCGAAGCCGCATTCTAGCAATCAGTATGGTGTTTTTTTAATACGGTTTTTTGTGTCATTTTCACGCTGTTTGTTCAAGATCTGAAAAGTGTGTAAGTAAAATAGAAAAATCAGAATATGAAGCAGACTCTGAATATGGAAATTGCTTATTTTGTAGTTATGTGGAACATTTAGTTTCTTGTCTAGAACATCTAAAAGATGGTCGATTGATGTTTTGGGACATGGAACTTTTACAGCAGAAAGATGTGTGATGACTGTACACTCGCCATATAGGGCGAGAGAACATTTTTTCAAATTGGCTTGTAGGCAGTAAGCTGTAAGGATGTTATTCTAATGCTGTAAAATATTAAGATATTCAAAGATAAGAACTGCACTAGTTTTCTTAATAACTTTTGATAGAAAGCAGCTAGAGAGCTGCGGTTTTCGCCATGCGAAAGAAGAGACTTGGGTACATGTTTTCGCAAGTAAAATAATTTTCAGAAGAGTTTTTTGAAATAGGTTTTCCACTAGTAGAGCAAGAGCTTGATTTTCCGCGGTTCGAGCCGCAGGACTGGCACCCGCCGACTCTTGGTAGCCTTAAAAATTGATGAAGTATAGGTAATCGATCATGCTGAGTCTTGTGGCAATATTTATTTTTAGAAAAAGCTTTAAAAATCTAGCGAAAAGTGGGTTTTACGAAAAGTGGGTTTTACGAAAATTTGGGTTTTCAGAATTGGGTTCAGAGTTCAGAAAACCTTTTGAAAATTATTTTACTTGCGAAAACATGTCTCCAAGTCTCTTCTTTCGCATGCCAAAACCGAAGCTCCCTAGCTGCGTTCCATCAAAAGTAATTCAAAATACAGCCACGATTCTCATATTTGGACATAGATAGTAGAAACTAACGGGTGTTACAGAAAGAATGACGTAGTTTTTATTTTCAGTTTTTCTCCTCTTCCTTTGAACTCACAGAGCCTATCTTATTACCAAAAGGTTTCATTCATTTCTCTACAAAATGATGTATAGAAGATGATCATAAGGTTTGAAACGCTGTCTTAATTGAACAAGCATCGAAATGTCCGAATAACTTAAATTAAAATTTTTTCTGTAGTATTTTTTCGATAATTTTGAAGTTTGAACTCCATTTTGAAAGCCATTGTAAGAAGGAAGAGGAAGAATACCTCGCCTTTCGGCTGCCTTGCGGTATAGAGTGCTGTCTGGAGACAGTTTCGTAAGTCCAATATCTTCCCTACAACTAATACTAGCTGTAGCTCTGGACAGAAGGTCAGCCTGATTCAGAGTTCTTTCGCTCAATCTCTTAAGCTCCCCGTGCACACTGACTAACCACATGCTAGCCACGAGGACTGGTATATGTCACAACGTAGCCAGCATGCTATTGGACGGGTGATCCGAGGCAAACAACCGTTAATGACTTGCCCAGGATCATTCCATGTCTGGTGGCGCTGAGCCTCGAACACAGTACCTTGGAGATACGTGCCAAACAACTTAACCACATAACCATAGCGGCGATTGTAAGAAGATAACATATCATTTCTTAGGACGTTTAATGGATGTCCCATAAATAATGGCACTGTTTGTATTTTTTATTGGCGATTTTCTAGTTTATAGAAAATCAATCGAATTTCTATAAGTAATTTTCAAGAATCTGGAAATTCGATTTTGATTTTGTATAAACTAGAAAATCCGCGGCGATTTTTCAGAAAGTGGAAACTTGCTAAGGAATTTCTAGACCAAATACTTATCTTTTTGTTTTGCAATCAGTTTAGGTATAAGAGCGTCACGTAAAAACACTCATATTACACTTAAATCAACTTTGACAGTTTCCACTTTAGATCACAATTCTGCCTATGCCAGCAAGGATTTTGATTCAGGCAGGGACAGTAGTGGCGCGAAGTTTCTGTAGGAAGGTTCAAAAATCGGAGACGTTCACCAGAAATTTCTCAAAAGCATGAGCGGGGCCAAACTCAATATAACCTGGTCGCGCCACCACCCGGTGCAGACCCGCCAAGGAATTTCTAAATTCTTAGAAATTATTTATGGAAATTCAACGGCGATTTTCTAGATTGTTGGAAATTCGATTTTCTATAAACTGGGAATAAACTGGAAAATCCTCGGGGAATTCCCATAGGTATTCTTTGAAATTCGTCAAGCATTTTCCATAAATAATTTTCAACCTTACAGTGTATATAACTTCTCATAGTTACTTTTCTGGAGTAGCAAAAACGTTTCTTAAGCTTGCAAGATAATCATAACACGAAGCGCTCGTTGAAAACATTAATTTCAAAAATATGGTGAAAAATGATCCAAAATCTTACTAAAAAGGTTCTTATAAATTCTTATGAATATCTTATAACATTCTTATAAATTTCTTGCCGGAAACAGTGGATTTCTTATCACTTTCGTGCAACTTCTTACATAAGAAATTCGTAAGAAAGTGATAGGAGACTTCAGTTCAGGTCCGCCCATCATTACATGACATAAGAGGCGCAAGAATGTTGATACTCTTTTCGTAGGACATAGAAAATTATATTAAAGCTTCCACCTTTCCCCGTACAAAAGTCATATTCTACATGCCCTTTTAGGGATGTCAAGTTTTGACCTCTCTTACAATGAAGCAACTTTGATCAGGGGTGTAACCGGTATCAAAAATGCGATGACGGTATACAAACTTCGTATCGGTACCGGTCGGTATACCGATGACCGGTTTACCGGTCAGTACCTGCTTGTCTTCATCATATTTTGCCTAAATACAAATACTTTTTCCTTGTTTTTCTTTACTATGAACTTTATTTTATGTTATCGAAGGGATAAATTAATCTTTTCGAAATTAATCTTTTGATTATGTATAGCTGATTTTTCACACGCGTTTTTTTTACGAAAACAGGAACGCAATTCAATCTTTTAGATTAAGAAGTTTATATAAGCCGACAAAGTTTAAGTAATTGGAATGAATATATGTGGAAGAAATATGTCACAGATGAACTGTACTTACACGATATTTTTCGACAAAAATCGTATCATACCGCAAAATACCAGCAATATCAGCGGCCAACTGAGTATACTTCATACCAATGCCGGTGTACCGGTCGGCGTTATAATTCGTACCATACCGGTTGCACCTCTGACTTTGACCTTGTTTTTCTCTACATTCATATAGTTAACATCGATGTTTAATATACCATATGAAAGAGCAGCTCGAGTAGTATAAGTGCTGATACTCAAAACTTGTTCTACTTCTATTACAAAAACACGCTATTTTACGACAGCGAGAATTATCATTAAAAGATCATATTTTTAATTACTGGATGTAATTTGCTAAACACCTGGAAGAATCTTTAGATGCTGTGATCTACCAACAAACATGGACAGCTTTCCTAATTGCCACTTCTCCGAGTAGGTTGTATTATGAGTCAATGAAGTTTAGAAAAAATTCAAATTTTCTAACAGATTAGCTATAAAGGCATGTCATACGAGACTTAACCGGCTCACGTTTCATAATATACAGAAAACGCAATTCAATGTCTATAAAACTTCTTCGTCTGTCCTAGAGTGGTTCATTCATAAGTTTTGCCACGATCGCCTAGTTTTATGTAACTACGAGATTAACGCTGATTAGATGATTTTCTTTTTCTTTTTATGATGTCAACAAAATGTACATGAAAAAAAAAGAATGAAGTTTTTTTGTTAAAATTAAATTATGCTTTTTGTATGTGTTTAAATGTCAAAAAATCAATACCTATTTGTCCTGTACTATTCTATGTATTCTTCTTTTTAACCTTTAAGGAACAAAATAAATTATTTCTGTCAAAAAAAGAAATCGATATTTTGTACTACAAATAAGAGTAAAATGAAAAAGTTCGGTTGAAGACTTCTTGAACAAGAGGACTGAAAGTTGACTATTTCCAAAATGGAGTCTTCAAGGATGGACACCATACTCAAAACGAAAGATAAGTATTAAGTTAACTCTTTTCCCATCAGATTAGATGGCTCTTCAGCTTCATTTTCATCTATAAAAAAAGAATTTGTCGTTTTGTTTTGCGTTCAGAAGAGGTAAAGTACGGAATGCTGCTTTCTCATTTTCAGCCATTTTGCGGCAGCTAGCGTGTTTTTGTAATAGAAGTAGAACAAGTTTTGAGTATCAGCACTTATACTACTCGAGCTGCTCTTTCATATGGTATATTAAACATCGATGTTAACTATATGAATGTAGAGAAAAACAAGGTCAAAGTTGCTTCATTGTAAGAGAGGTCAAAACTTGACATCTCTAAAAGGGCATGTAGAATATGATTTTTATACGAGGAAGTTGCGAGCTTTTATTTAATTTTCTATGTCCTACCTAGAGGCCTGCGGGGCCATTCCAGTCCCGGTCCTGCGGGACTTTTTACGGGACCGCGACCAAACTTCATGAGACCGGGACGGGACTGGGACCTAGAGATCTGCAGGACTGCCCTAGCCCTGCAGGATGGTTCCGGTCCCGCAGGACTTTGAATGCGACCGAGACCAGTTTTTTTGAAAATAGTCTTGTATGGAGCATAAAAATTTCTTAGTTTCTGTGGTTGTTTGTATGTAGACACCAGTTCTGTGAGAAAGAAGAAAATTCTAAAAGCCTTCAGTTAATACCACCCACGCATGCTGTTCCATGTGCTATATTACAACGCGCTGGCTTTCAAACTATCAGCGCTACTTTGAAAAAATATTTACGAGACCACAGGACCGGGACCAAAAAGTCTGGTTCCGCAGGCCTCTAGTCCTACGAAATCAACATCCTTGCGCCTCTTATGTCATGTACTGATGGGCAGAGCTGAATGGAAATACCCGATAAGATTCTTATCAGAATCAACAGATGTTTTTCGACTAGGGCAATATCAGTTTATTGGTTTCAGGGAATATCCTGCACTATATTAAACACTGAATTAATCAAAGAGGCATTGCGTGTACGCTGTGTTTAAAGATAACATTACAGTATATATCGTAGTTTTTGAAAAGGTTCAAACATAGAAAACATGGGCTAACAAAACCATATTGAACATGAACATATCGACTAATTTAATGTCGCTTCGCTGCTGTATCACAGATAATATTATTCTCATAATGGTTTATTAACGCACACGTGCACACACACACAAACACTCTGCTAATGAAAACTTGATCGGCCTAGTAAAACTGGTCTGTTCGATGCTCCCTCTTCTTCTGTGGCTGAATCAAATGTACCTTTCAGTTTTCTACCACAAGCAAAAAATAAAAATGCCATAATGATCAAACTGATAAATATAATCCACGACAATACATAACATAAATTGTATGAATGTTTTGCATCTCTTGGATAGAAACCAGGTAAAGTTTCTTTTCCATGGCGAACAACATTGTTGAGTACTTCAATACAGACAAGAAGAGCGGCAGCTAAAAAAACAAGACGAGCTCGTTTTGTCGTTTAGTGTTATTTTGTAAAATGATATCATACCAGATAAGACATATAAACTCCCCGTTAATCTCTTATACATATAACGAAATTCTCGTATACTATATAATCCACAGACAAATGTTAACATTAGTAATAAAACGAGAATCGTGGAAAATGCGGTCATTGTTCGAGTTAAAGCTAAAGAAAAAGAAAAGCAAGTTATGGTTTGATAGGCGAGAGTGAGAGTTTGACTTCATAATGGTTTTTGACTAAACTGTAATTGTAGAATATTACTCAGCATTGCTCTGCAAACTGCTTACCCAGTAAAGTTTGATCGATAAACGTTTGATTCTGTTGTTCTACTCCATTCATTGAAATACGATGAGAGTGACATTTTGATTCTGAAAAAAAGATTTTGAAAGAATTTTATCAAATGAATCGGAATAGCTAAGTGGTCGTATGCCAGACGAGAAAATGGTATCCAAGGATAACAGCAGCAGCAATATTATTCAAGGGGCACAGATGGATAAAGCCAGAAATCCTTGACACAAAAATTTCGCATTTTCTCTTTCAGAAACATATCAGGGGATTGTTAGAAACATATTCTATCACTTAATTTCATGTGTTCTCACTATGAGGTTTTTGATGCCAGAGGAACTTCGTAAAATTTTTTGTCTAGGACTTCTTTCGAAACCACATGCACAGAATGTAGAATTTCATGCTGGGCATGAATATAACATTTAAACTCACGATGGTAAAACAAGAACATGCACTCATATTCTGCTATTTACACCATCAGAAATCATTAATCAAGATATTTCAAATCAGCATGAAAAACTGTATCGAATAAGACAGGTTTTATTGAAAAATATTTCCATAAACATTAGACCTTCACTCCTGCTCCTCTGGCGCCAAAAACTTCATAGTGAGATCTCGCGAAATTAAGTGATAGAATATATTTCTAACAATCCCCTGATATGTTTCTGAAAGAGAAAATGCGGAGTTTTTATGTGAAAGATTTCTAGCTTATCTGCCCGTGTTCTTTCTCAGCAGAATCATGCTAACAGAAATATCTTTATGGTTTTCGATTTTTGATACTTCCATTCGATTCCATATGTGAAAGCGTCTATGTTCTATGAGTTTCAGGTTTTCCGAATACTTTCTTCTGCCTCAGAAAAAAAGAAAAACTATCGTCAAAGTTTGACCGACTTTCCTGCACAGTGCAACATCTCACTATTTTCAATTTTAAAGATTGACATTAAGAAATTTAGCGACAGCAAAGTATTATCCCATAGAGAAAAACATGATAAACAACTTCTATACTCACATTTCCGCTCCAAAATACTGTCCCTCCGAGAAACTGCAAGCAAAATCTCGAGAAAGCACACCTTTGACCCCAGAAAACTATTCTCAAGGTCAATTTCGAATTTCTTCATCAAACGTTGCCCGAGAACGACGATAATCTTTTCACGTATACATCTCGACGCGCTTACAAACCGATGTTTCAAAGAAAAAGTAAAAGTTTTATTGAGCAAAAAAGGCTGAAAAAAATTCAAATTTTTTTCTAGAAAACTACAACTCCGTAAACTCCCGAACTCTATTCATATAGATTTTGAAGTGTGCTCTAGAATCTGGGAAAGTCTGAACCAAATCGAAATGGGTCCCGCCTTAGTCTCCAAATACCAAAAATCGAAATGCCTTATTTGGGTCCAAAAATCCATTTTTAGACACTTATCGAACTCTTTGTCCAGCCTTTTGTTTTAAAATTTTTAAATTCATCTCCCTTCCGTTTTAGAATGCATTTTGAGTTTAGAAAAAAGTGACAAGGTATTTGACAAAAAGAAAGTATTCGAAAATACCTCTTGTTAACATTGCACTCTGATACGTATAATATGAGAAAGAAAGAAACTAAAGTATATTTAATTAATTGTTTTTAACAGCGTGGCGATAAGTAAACTGTTCGCAACTACTACAAAAACCAAGCAATACTGAACCTGATACTACAAAACTAGGAAATTTATTCCATTTCTTGACAGTTTTTATTAGGAACGGTTCTCACAGCATCAGATCACTATAGATTCGATGAGCTGTTTCTCAGTGAATTTTGGAGAGAAAAATGACATACAGCCGTACATCCATGAATAATTTTCTATGCGTACTTCATATTTTTTCAACGTGATAAGTAAAGATTCAAGAAAGATTTTAAAACTGCTACGAGTTGTGCAAAACGATAAATAAGTTAATAGTTGCGTTGCACTACATCTAAAGGTTCTAAATGTGTAGACACCTGAATACTACATTCTCCTGAATATCTTAAAAATTTTCTTGGAATAATGTAAGAGGACAATATTTCAAATAATAAGATAATCGAGACACACTTACTACTGGGTTTTTGACCAACAACACATTCTCGGATGATTCCATAGGATGATTTTAAAACATACATTTGATATTTAGAAGAATAAAATCCCGCGGGATACGTGATTATTATCCAACTACTTGAGAATAATGTAATTAAAAATATAAAAAATATAATAGCCGTAACAATCAGTGCACCCCGTAATATTTTGGTTTTCTTATTAGTATTTGTTGTTGTACTTTTATTAGTGTTGTCTATTATCATTGTTTTATCTTTTGGCAGTTTAAGATTTGTGACTATACAAGAGAGACTTTTTCATTGTCTATCATGTTAGGCCTGTGTTAAATAAATAAATTAACAGTTAATTAGAAAAATTTGTGACAGATAAACAATCACTAACATAAACATTTAATCGGTGTGAATAATATAAATAAACATTTCGCCTTCTTAGGAGAAATAATAAACTTTTAACGAAAAATGTCAAATTCTATCGTTCTATTTAAGCCTGAGTTTCTCTAAAAGTTAGATATGGGCGATAGTAATCAATCGCGCATTTGACTTACTTTACATGTATTCTAGGACATGATGAATTGAGTATAACTGCAAAATCATTTTTCTTATATAAATTCAAGGCCACTTCAAGTTTTACAAATAGTCAAAGAAGGAGAATACGAGTTCCAGCATTAAGCCGTCTATCGGATATCTGGTAGGTAATTGACTTGTCTATATATCCCCGAATCAAATAGTTCTTTATATGGTAGTAAAGTATGTCAAGTGGAAACATTCCCTAAAAAATTTCAGCTTATGCTATATCAGCCTGAGTTTACAAATTTGTCTACTTTTTACTGTGTCTATTTTTTTAAAACTGAGCCTGTGTTCGTCAGTTTTATTTTGAAAAAATGTCATTTTCAAAATTTACATATGACGATGAATAAAACGGTATGTGTTCATTTCATAGCTGAGGTAAATAAACGGATGAAGTCGCTCACTGTAGACAAAGATCATCTTGAAATTAAGAGAAAGGATAGTATCTACCACATTTTGTTGAAGCATATTATCGGTTTGACAAGAATCTGTTAAATGTCTTACAAAGAAGAAGTAGTCTAAATAAAAATAAGCATCTTTCCTGCTCACTAGAGCACACTGTCTACTAATGCACTAATCTACTAGTCGAATTGAATCGACTAATATGTGGTTCGGCTATATTCGAAAGAAATCTTCTCACGTTTAGAAGTAGTACAATGTAACGTTATGCGAAGTTGTTTCGATTCCATTGCACGAAATCCATTGCACGAAATCCATGTGCTAAATGGAATCGAAACAATATCCACAATTACTGACTTCAAAATCAATTTCAGTTCTAAAAGTAAAAACTCCCGCATTTTCAATAGTTGGTTTTAACTAGTGGTAATACTTGAGGTGGCCTGAAATTCATGTAAGAAAATGATTTTGCAGTTATACTCAACTCATCATGTCCTAAATCGCATGTAAAGTAAATCACATGTGTGATTAGTAATGGTCACTCGTACCTAACTTTTAGATAAACTCACTCTTTAAAATTTGTCGTTGTTTCCTGTAACGAAATAATGATTGTGTGATATTCTATGATGCACAGAAAAGAGAAGGAAAAGTATCTCTCCTATTAAGATTAAGCTATTGAAAGAGTAAGTAGATGGTGTATACCATTCTGTCATCTCTTTCCTATATTTATGCCACCTCTCTTCGCTCTTTTCTTGCTACAATAACACAACAACGAAAGGAATGTCAAAAATATTTTTAGTGAATTTATCGGCCACATATAAATATCTGGCGCTGGTCTTTCAGACACATACAGATAGATTGTGTTTGATTACTTATATATATATATACCTAGATAGATATAGATATAAGAAACAAAAATAATTTTTGATATTCGTATATCGCTAACAATAACTATAAAATCATTTTGATGATATGCTGTGTACTATGTTGCTATGATTATATGAAGTAGAAGAAAAAGACAAAAAAAAGAAATGGATATTATAGACCCAAGTCACTTTGTGTTCTTCAGGCCATAAGGCACTTACCGATAATATTTATTCGTATTAATAAATCAATGCATTAGTATATCTTGGAAAGGTTATTGGTTTCAAATTAACTTTTGCATATTAAAATTACGGGTTTGGGAAATTTCCTCGAATGAAGTTTCCTCAAACAGAATTTTCTCGAATGGAAACCTCCTCGAATTTTCCAAACAGAAATTATCAATACTATTTGCAGTGTATAGAACCTCCTTAAATTTTTGGTTATACATGTTTGTACCGGTTAATAAGAGAAAATAAGACTATAATTTATTTTAAAAGTCACTTTGATACATTGATACAAAGACGAGAAATAAGTAATGATAAGAGATCGCATTATAATCACACCTTAGACAATGCGATATATAAATCTCTGTAGACATTTCTAGAAAAATTATTAAAAACAGAAGAAAGTTCTTTTCAATTGGAGTTGGCAGTTGTAAATGCCGACCAAGAAGCAAAAGTTCAACAGAAACGTTATGCAGATCATAATAAACATTTAATAAATCTAATTAAATATCCTCATCCCAATATAGTACAACTAATAGCTGCTATAGCTCATAATATCCATTTATAAATTTTATGTTTCAAATAAAGCAGTTTCATTGATATATAACTGAGATAGGTTCAGCTGGAAAATTCGAGGAGGTTTCCATTTGAGGAAATTCTATTCGAGGAAATTTCATTCGAGAAAATTATTTTCAAGGAAATTTCTCCCATTCCAAAATTACTTTAAAGTATTTTTTCCATTATCAATAGTGAGAA